GGTATTGAAAGAGGGGGCGATCTTATGCTACTGAGCAGTTTATTGAACAAAACTTTCTATATGCTCTTATGAACAAGATTAGTCATCAATATTTTTAGTCCATTTTTCCAAAAGTGTAAGGAATCTGCTTATATTTTGTTTTGTTAACATTTTGCAGAGGGTTTTGTTTTAGTCATAGTTTTCGCCTTTTGACAAGAATATCCTTTATATTTAGTCAATATTGCATTACTTTTAGACAGTTTTACTAAAATGCCATTCATTTTCGTTGCGTAAAACAGCATTTTAGTTGAGAAGAAAAATTAAACCAAATATTCAAACATTATATAAGCATATAAAATATATAAGAAGCATTATCAGCATAATTATAACAAAACCAAAACTGTCCATGTAGAAACCTAAACTCCTGCAATAACATTGTAATAAGTATACTATTAAAATACAATGTTGTAAAATACAATGAGGCATTCGCCTCATATTCGCCGATACAAGTTGTAATATTTCTGATTAATCTCATATAGGTTGCGTTTGGGTGAGTTAACTAACCTGCTAAACAGAGTGATTCAGCTGCCTGTGTATTTTAATATCATACGCTGTTTTCCCTCGTCATTTCATCAACTGTATTAATTAAGATTTAATTCTCATCATGTTAATGACCATTTTCATGCCTAATTTAGTTGACGACATGAACACTCCCTGTTATTTATATGTGACCCTGGACCACAAAACCAGTCTTAAGTGTAAATTTTTCAAAATTGAGATTTATACATCATCTGAAAATTTGAATATCTGGAATCTGAGGGTGCAAAAAATCAAAATACTGAGAAAATCGCCTTTAAAGTTGTCCAAATTAAGTCCTTAGCAATGCATATTACTAATCAAAAATTAAGTTTTGATATATTTACGGTAGGAAATTTACAAAATATCTTCATGGAACATGATCTTTACTTAATATCCTAATGATTTTTGGCATAAAAGAAAAATCTATAATTTTGACCCATACAATGTATTTTTGGCTATTGCTACAAATATACCCCAACGACTTAAGACTGATTTTGTGGTCAAGGGTCGAAGGGCCCTCGTGCTCTTCTTGGAGAAAACCATTCCCTGTTGTTTCTTCAGGGATGGCCTTCAATTAGCCCTCAAACAGACTAATGAATTTCTGAATGAACCACTGAAATTATGAATTTCTAGGGTCTTTAATCTAAACAATAACAACCACTTGAGGGAGACATTAGACATTACGTTTGTGTTCAGTAGGGATAAAGAAGTGTGTCAAAAGTGTTACAGGCTCTCCAGATCTGTCTTTCCTCCACCACTCTTCTCTTACCCTCCCTCATCTGTGCTCTGTCTGTAATCTCTTTAAGAAGTTTCCATCCCGGGGTAAATCAGATTAGATTTAGGGCTGCTTTCTATAACACTCCAACACCAACCACCAACAGCTCCGCCGCAATACTGAATAATGAATCTGTACGATTAACATGCACTGCCTGCAATATGTGAATCATCTACAGGGTTTATGTGATATAGAATGTGTCCTGAAAGGCAATGTTTGTGTTTGTTGCCTGTTTGAAAGCGTTTGTGTAGAGGAGGAGTCGGCGTGTGCCTGGTAGCTCCTTCCTCTGACCTTGGCTACAGAGAGATGGAGAGAGAAAGAGGACAGAGAGTGTGTGTGTGTGCTCCAGACACCTGCTCGGCTCTTCAGGAGAAAGGGATTGTGGAGGAAGTGTAAGGGAATGTGAGCACATTAAATGCTGTGAATGAAGCACTTTTCCTCGCTGAATGGACTAAAAAGCTCACTTGTGCTCTTTTTTTTTCTCTCTCTCTCTCTCTCTATCGGTCATTCTCATTCAACATCTCTCTCACCTCTGATAAAAGGACTGCACTATCACAGAACTAATGCAGGCATTCATTTACAAAACTCTGAAATTTGACCTC